AATCAACAAGTTGTTGTTCAGATAAAGAAACCAGATTTCTAGATATTTTAGCATGTTGCCCTTCAAGTGAGCCGGTTGTTGAAAAAGCCCAACATGAACCACAATGTCCTTGATTTTTAACTGGTGTTACATAACCTTTTGTACGCCAATCTAATTCACTTTTTTTAAAAATAATTATTTAATAAAACAAAATTATCTTACCAACAGATGATGGAAGAACAATATTTGATGGAATACTAAACTTTTTATTTTCTCTCTTTTGATCATTTATTTTCAATGTATTCATTTTTTTAACAAATTCTTCGAATGTCTATTTAACAGAGAGATATTAATTAGAAATAAATAATAAGAGAAACTAACGAGATCGGCAAATTGATTAACTTTCATAGTGTATGTATGAATACCTAAATCAGCTTCTAAATTATGTCTTTGAATCATTTCAACATTTTTTTCCCAAATAGATCGTCTGTAAAAATGAATTTATTTTTAATTCAAGTTTTTATTATTATTTTTACCGAGCTTGTTCATCATCAATTGAATTATATTGTTTATTATAGATACGTTTGAATAATGTCCATGATTCCTCTAATGATGATAATGTTGAACTACTAAAAGCAATGATGATGAGCAACACCAAGATTATATGTAAACAGAGAATATATTTCATTTTTCTTTAAGCTAAATGTTGAATACATGTATTTTCATTCATTTTATAATAGAATTTTTGTCATGTAATGATATTGCATTTGATAACGATAAAACTTCTTTCATATTCTTTATGAAATATATCACTTAGAAAAAGAATAAATAGATCAATTTCTTTTTATCTTTTTTTATTCATTTTATGTCAGTTGAGTTTTAAATTATGTTTTTTTTCCTCTATATTAATAAACGGAAATAAATTGGAGCTATGCTTCTCAGCTGTAAATAATTCATCTTCATTTTTTAACAAAATACAAATAAAACGAGTTTAAAAAATATATGTCATATAATTAAATTGATTATAAAAGGTGAAGCAAATTAAATGAGCCACTTTTGTTCTTTCATTATATCTTGTTTAACTTTCTTCTAAAAATCTCATTTAATGTTCACGAGATAGAGAATTTTCTGTTCTACAAAATGGTATAACTTTTGTTCATAAAGTACTGATCTTTTAGATTAAAAAAGTTTAAGCAAAAAGAACATGAAAAACTTGTACTGTACTTTCATGGCGAAAAATATTCCAATCAGCAAATTTCGATTATCCTACGTAATGAAGTTTCACGTTCAACTAATAATCTATGGTTACAAATGTTCAACGAGACTAGTGTTGGAATTTTTGAAAGAAGTCGGATGGAAGAAAGCTTATCACTTTTGAACGAAAAGTCATAGCATCCTGCGATTTTCACTATTCGATAGAGGGCAGTGTCAGGCGCAAACCTATGCGTGGGGAATGTTTTCTCAAAGTATTTTTCCAGGCTAATTTTAGCAGGCATAGCTAGGGAAAAATTACCGACTTTCTAGAGGAAATTTTTTCCACTAGTTTTGCAGTCCGAAATGTCTTCTTCAAAGCGGTATCTAGGCAATTTCAAAATTTTACTTCCTCGAGATGCTAGAGGCTTTTTAAGAGAGCGAGTACAAGTAAGACACGTTTCGCTCAAAAAGAGAAAAAAAAACCATTTAAAATATAGGTCTCCCGGTGTGAGTGTGAACTATAAAGCACACACACCCGCACTCACACCCAAACGCACATTCTCATTTTGGATGCGTTCAAACGTGTCAAGTTGTATAGCTTGTAGACATTCAGGAATGCTTTAGAAGTTTAAGCATGAATACATGTGCGATAAAAAGAACATCATTGAGTTATTCTAATTTCAATAAAAATAGATAGGTTTTCATATAGGATCTACTAATCAGGTCCTTATTGTAAACTTAGATCAGTTTGTATGATTCTAAATCGCTGCACAATAATCATTATCAATTGAAAAGCTAAAGAGATATTTGTGAAAAATTATCCTGCTTAAAATATGTATCATAAAGAATCATTTATAGAAATATTCTTCAGCTTCTTATTCTTGTTCAAGTGAGTTTATAGAAAGCTGGTATGTTTCTCCAAAT